GAGGAGGCACTGCAGAAGTTTCGATGGGGGAGAGGCTATGAATTGGCATGGGGCTCTTATGCAGAACTGCTCCCTTTTTGCACTAAACTAAACAGCAGTGGCAGCTGCAAGCGAGAAAGCATGCGAGCAAGACACTTCATACTAGTTAAATTACCACAACATCGCTTCACATCATCCTGAGCATACATAAAGATATAATAATGGTACTAAATAAAGGTATGATAACAATCAAGATAAGATAACAATGAAATGCTAGGAACTAATTATAAAAAGGAAGATTATGGCCATTTGATGAGCAAGAAAAATCACACACGAAAGCAAATAGCATCTCTGAATACCACACAGATTTGCCCTGGGATTGCCGAGGACGTACCTGGTCTCCTTTCCCGGTTCTGGCAACACCTGGACGAGGTATCTGCTGGAGGCTGCGTCGGGGATCTTCACTGGCGCTGTCTACAACGATAAAGTGCTCAGACAATCTGGTGAGTTTCGTTTCATAAGTTGATACAAGAGATGTATTTATACATCTCTTATGTTGTGAAGATATTCTGAATCGTGCCTTTTCTACGTATATATCTATGTATTCATAACGTGTGTGTGTAATTGTGAGTGTAAATAAACACATGAGAATATATGAATGTATATATATATAGTATATAATATATATATATATATATATATATATATATATATATATATATTATTATATATATCTATAGATCTATCTATTTACATATCTATATAGTGAATGTATATATAGATGTGTATGTTATACATATACATACACATTTGTATTGTTGGTGTCCTCCTCCTCCTCTCCCCCCTCTCCCTCCCCTCCACCTCCACCACCTCCCTCCCTCCCCACCCCACCCTCCCGACAGGCTACCTCGGGGAAGCCGACGCCCCCGACAGCGGCCGAACCCTCGTCCAGAAGACCCACGGGAAGGCCTTCTACAGGAGGAGAAGCACCATGAAGGAGCGATACGAGTGATAAGGGCGGCTTCCTTGCATCCTTATATCAGGAACCCGGCGAGGTAGGAGACAGAGGAGTAGGAGAGAGAGAGAGATAGAGAGATAGGAGGAGAGAGATGGAGAGAGAGGAGAGGAGATAGAGAGATAGGAGAGGAGATAGAGAGATAGGAGAGGGGATAGAGAGATAGGAGAGGAGATGGAGAGATAGGAGAGGGGATAGAGAGATAGGAGAGGAGATAGAGAGATAGGAAGAGGGGATAGGGAGGGAAATAGAGAGATAGGAGAGGGGATAGAGAGATGGAGAGGAGAGAAATAGGAGAGGAGATAGAGAGATAGGAGAGGGATAGAGAGATAGGAGAGGGAGATAGAGAGATAGGGAGATAGGAGAGGAGATAGAGAGATAGGAGAGGAGATGGAGAGATAGAGAGATAGGAGAGGAGATAGAGAGATAGGAGAGGGAATGGAAGACAGAGAGATAGGAGAGGAGGATGAGAGATAGGAGAGGGGATAGAGAGATAGGAGAGGAGATAGAGAGATAGGAGAGGAGATAGAGAGATAGGAGAGGAGAGGAGATGGATAGGAGAGGAGAGGAAATAGATAGGAGAGGAGATAGAGAGATAGGAGAGGGGATAGAGAGATAGGAGAGGGGATAGAGAGATTGGAGAGGAGATAGAAGGAGAGGAGATAGAGAGATAGGAGAGGGATGGAGAATAGGAGAGGAGTAGAGAGATAGGAGAGAAGATAGAGATTGGATGAAGAGAGATAGGAGAGGAGATAGAGGATAAGGAGAGGAGATAGAGAGTTAGGAGAGGAGATAGAGAGATAGGAGAGGAGATAGATAGATAGGAGAGGAGATAGAGAGATAGGAGAGGAGATAGAGAGATAGGAGAGGAGATAGAGAGATAGGAGAGGAGAGGAAATAGATAGGAATAGATAGGAGAGATAGGACGAGGAGATAGAGAGATAGGAGATGGAAGATAGAGGAGATAGGAAAAGGAGATAGAGAGAAGGAGAGGGATAGAGAGATTAGAGAGGAGAATGAGAGATAGGAAGAGGAAGATATTTAGAGAATAGAGAGGAGACCTAGAGATAGAGAGAGATCAAAACCACGGCGAGGTGGGGGCGTTTGAGGGGAGGGGGGGAGGAGGAAGGGCAGTTGGGGGATTTGGTGGAGGAAGAGAAGGGAGAGTGGAGAAAGGGAGGTTGGGGAGAGAGGGAATGAGAGGGGAGGTCGCGGCTTTGGGTGGGAAGGAAGGGGAGGTGGGGAAGTATTGAGGGGAGGGGGAGATCACAAGAGGGAATCGGGCCCTGAACGGAAAAGGAAAGCGGGGAGAGGAGAGGGAAGGGTAGTTGGGCTTGCCTGCTGCCGAGCCGAAGACCGAGGGGAGAGGGGAATTTGGAATTTGGTGGGAGAGAAAGATATATATATAAGTAAATAAGGTGAATTTTGAATTTGTGGTATGGAAAGAGAAAGTTGATGATTTTTGGAGGGGGAGGAGAGGAAAGAGGGTGAGGAGGAAGGAGGGGAGCGGTGGGAATCATGTGGAGGGAACGGAGAGGAGAGAGGGGGGAAGAAAGCGGCTGGACATGGTTTATAAGGGGAAAAAAGGGAAGGGAAGGAAAGAGGCCGGCGAGCAGATTAAGTTGGGAAAGAGAGGATTTGGGGGTGAGGGGGAAGGTGATGGGAAGGAGAGGTGAGAGGAGAGTAGGATTCGCGCCGAAAGAGGAGGGGAGGTGGAGAAAGGGGGAAGGAGGGAGAGAGGAGTGGCATCTGGGAAGGAGAGGGGGAGGTGGAGAACAGGGGGAAGGAGAGAGAGAGGAGGAGGAGTAGGATTTGGGAAGGAAGGGGAGGTCGGCAGATGAAAGGAAGGAGAGAGAGGGGAGAGAGAAGTATGGATTGGGAAGGAAGAGGGAGTAGAGAAGGGGAAGGAGAGAGGGAGATTTGTAGAAGTAGGAATTGGGAAGGAGGAGGGAGGGTAAGGCCAACGCGCGAAGGAGAGAGAGAAGAAGAGAGAGGGACTGCAATGGAGAGGGGGGCACGAGGAAGGGAGAGAAGGGGGGAAGTGAGAAGGAAGGCGGATGGGGAGATTTTGGCGGAAGGCAGGACGGAAAGTGAAGGACCCGAAGAAGGGAAGGAGAAAAGTGAGAGGGAGGAGAGAGGAGGAGCAAAGGAAGATTGTTAATATTCCCTTTATGCACAATATATTAATGGGGTGGATGACAATGACAGTAATAGTCTTCATCAACCATTATCATAATACATCAACTTGTTATTATTAATTGACCAAGTTATCATTTTATTCATCATTACTATTATCACTATCATAATTATTGTTGTAAACGCACTGATCAAAATTTGGATTATTGTTTTCAGATTATCGTTCTCAGTTACTTTATTATGCATCAGGTATATGTGTGTTATCAATTATTGATTATCATCAGTTATCAAATTATCAGGAGTGGTTGTTTATTCATTACCTCAATCATCATTAATTTATGTTTTTCATCAAGTGATTATTATCCTTCTTACATTTATTTTATCAATGCATCCTGGTTTTTATTGTGGTTGTTATCGTTGTCTATTGCTATTATTTGTTTCTGAATCATTATTATCATTAATTTTTTATTTCAATCATTTTATTCAGTAGTAGTGGTTAGTATAATATTAGGTATTGACGGTATTATTAGTAGTATTAATCATTATTTATGTATTTTACTATTGAAATTAACATTGTTGTCATTATCATTATCATTGTTTTTATCATTTAATACTCGTTATATCATGCATATGTTACTTACCATTATCCATCAGTAGACTCTATATGGTTAGGAAATCTTAGTTGGTATCAGTAGCCATTAGAGGGAAGTCATGATCAGACGATAGGTGAGATTATATCATCTTATGACAGGATAGGACTATAGAGAGTATCAGAAACTTTTACTATACCCGATGATGATATATGATTTATCCAGTCTCAATTATTTATATAGTGCGAATTCCTCAACTATTGGGGTGCCGTATCGAATGTAAAATCTCCGAGATGTAATATTACGCCTCCCCACCACTGTATCAAATTAGTATATATATATATCCGGGGTCACTTAATATATATAATATTCACTCTCGCCGTATCGCGACTTGTTAATTGATGTATGGTGATATTTGATCAGATTTTACTAATTATCCTTATCACTATTATGTCATTAGCCTCTCCTTGGTTGGGAAGTTAGTTTAGGTAGCATTAGTTAGTTTGTTGTTTGTTGGATTTGGGTGTTCACACCGTTTAGCAAGATAACTCAATAAGATATTATGTTTAAAAAGAATATTCCTATTGATATTTATATATAAGATATTATATTTATCATTATCATTACCGGTATCTTTATCCACTTATCGTTGTCAAATTATATCAGTCATTATCATACCATCATTATTTCTATTTCCGCAAAAAAAATACCGTTATTACTATTATTGATAATATCATCATTATTTCATTACACAAAAATTATCGTTATTACTATCATTTAATATGTCTATCATTATTTCCATCGTTACCGCATTATTATCACAAACATGCTATCATCGATCGATCAATTATCATCATCACAACATCATTCATTGATTATTCATTAACCTTTCATCATCAATTAATATATCAATCATCATCAATTATCATTATCCCAATCATCATCATTGATTATCATCAACACCATCATCATCATCAATTATAATTATCCCAATCATCATCATCATCGATTATCATTAACCCTATCATCATCACCAACAACTATCATTATCACTCTCATCACCATTATCAATATCGTCAACATTATCATTATCACTCTTCTGATTATTACAATTATCTCATTTTTCTTCCAGAGCTTTAATAGCCTATTGGAAGTTCATTCAGATCCACACGAGAGACAGACAGATAGCACAGTTGGATGAAAAAAAATTCAAGACGGAAGGTAATATTTGTCACGAAATGATTTTGACTTTTAATGAATCTTGGGAAAATTCGGGTATTTTTTTTTTTTTGGTGGGTTTCATGGGTATTTGTGATGCTTAATCCGAGTTAATTAGTTGGAATAATTATGATCAATCTTCTCTCTCTCCGCTCTCGCTCGCTCTCTCTCTCTCTATCTATCTATCTATTATCTATCGTCTTGCTCTCGCTCTCTTCTCTCTCTCTCTCTCTCTTCGCTCTCGCTCTCGCTCGTTCTCTCGCTCTCTCGCTCTCGTCGCTCTCTTCGCTCTCTCGCTCTCGCTCTCTCTCTCTCTCTCTCTCTCTCTCTCTCTCTCTCTTCTCTCCCTCTCTCTCTCTCTCTCTCTCTCCTCTCTCTCTCTCTCTCTCTCTCTCTCTCTCTCTCTCTCTCTCTCTCTCTCTCTCTCTCTCTCTGCTCTCTCTATCTATCTAATATCTATCTAATCTTTCAAGAATTCCACTATTACGTTAAGCAAGCGACGATAACGTGGGAACAGCTGATCTCCGACCGGCTGTTGTGGAGCTCCGCCCCCATCCACGTGGTCTACTACGAACAGCTGGTCCAGGATCCCATTTTCTATGTTAAGGAAATGCTCGAGTTTCTCAGGTAATGCAGGAAGGAGGGAGGGATGGAGGAGGAGGTGGAGGAGGAGGAGGAGGAGGGGTGGTGGAGAGGGTGAAGGAGGAAGGAGGGATGGAGGAGGAGGAGGAGGGAGGTGAAAGGGGAGGGGAGGTGGAGGGGAAAGGAGAAGGAGTAGAGGGAAGAGGGGGAGGAGGAGGAGGAAGGGGAGGGGAGGAGGAGGGGAAGGGAGAGGAGAGGGAGGAAGGGAAGGGGAGAGGGGAGAGGGGAAGGAGGAGGAGGGAGGGAGGAAAGGGGAAGAGGGAGGACGGAGGGGAGGGGAGGAGGGAGGAGGAGGGTGAAGGAGGGAGATTACCAGGATCCCGTTCTATGTCCAATGCTGGAGTTTCCCATAAAGCAGGAAGAAGGGAGGTTGGAGGAGAAAGGAGAAAGGAGAGAAGGAAGGAAGAGGGAAAATGAGGAGGGGAAGAGTAGGTAGGCGAAGAAGAGGAAGAGTAGAAGAAAGAGGAAAGGGCGTAGGAAGAGGGGAAGGAAGAGGAGAATGAAGAGGAGGAGGGGGAGGGAGAAGAAGGAGGATAGGGGGAGAGATGGAGAGGAGAAAAGCTGGGGAGAAGAAAGAAAGTAAGAAGACGGTGCGATAAAGAAGAAGAAGGAGAGAGTGTAATAAAGACGCCCCCTATCAGAGGTTACGATTTGGAGATATCAAAATGATAATAAAATGTAATAACGATTAAACCCCCGATGATAAAAAAAAAAATAGCAACATGGACAAAGAATGACAAGAAATGTTGAGAAGATATTCCTTTCTCATTCATGCCTTTTCTACTTTGTCGCAACGACACGGTAGCATAGAGAACAACAGTGATAAACGCGAATAAATGAAATAATGATAAAGAAGATAAACAAATGATAACGTAATATAGTAATAAACAAGGAATACAATGAAATGAATAAAGATAGAAAATATGAGAATTAAATAAACAAGGAACAATGAATAAGATAAAGATAGATAAAAAGAATAATCATCATCATCAAGGGGGCTGACGCCGACGGGGGCGCATAGCCGCATCCACCCTTCGCTTCCACCTACGAGGATCCCTCATGGCTAGACGCCAGGCAGGGACTCGGCCCATCTCTAGTTCTTCACGGCAGGTTTGGTTGATCTGCCTAAGCCACGACTTCCCTAGGTCGTCCCACAGGCTCCTTCACCCAGGGTTGTCTCGAACAGAGACCACCTGATGGGCAGGATCATCCTGAGAGGAAGCGAAGCCAGGTGGCCGCATAGGCCTGAGTTGGCGATCACGGATTGAGCAGATAACAGGTCCTGTGCCAGTCTCACGGTGCAACCGTTGGTTGGACACATGGTCCCGCCAACAGTACCCCATGATCTGGCGCAAGGACCTATTACAAAAGGCTTCAAGACGAGCCTCCAAGGCACAGGACAATGTCCAGGTTTCGCGACCGGTATAGCAAAACTGGTATTATCAGGGCCTTGAAAACCCGTAGCTTGGTCTTTCTGCACAGGTACCGACATCTCCAAATACTCTTGTTGAGAGAGTTAATGACCCCTGCTGCCAGGCCAATCCGTCTGCTGACTTCATAGTCTGACAGCCCAGAGTTATGAACTACACTACCAAGGTATGTAAAGCTCTCTGTGACTTCAATGTCCTCGCCGCAAGCACGTACCGACTGAACAGCGTTCTCCTAACAAGTCCCCCAGATTCCTGGACCTTGGTCTTGGTCCAGGAGACCTCTAGACCCAAGGGCTTCGCTTCATTTCTAAATGCATCGAGAGCCGCCACAAGGGTTTCCAAAGACTCAGATAGAATGGCAATGTCATCAGCAAAGTCAAGGTCGTAACCTTGATATTGCCCAGTGTTGCTCCACAATGACATGAAGCAGTAGCTCTGCCCAGTATCCAGTCCAGGCAAGTGTTGAAAAGAGTTGGTGGCAAGGGACACAGCCTTGCCCACTCCTGAACTAACAGGAAAGAAGCTCGACAGGCCCCACCACACTTTAGCACTTTCAGTACCAGTATACAGGCTTGCTATTAGTCCAATAATCCTTGTTGGAATTCCTCTTAGGGATCTCCCAAAGTGACTCCCGATGCAACGTATCGAACGCCTTCTTGAGGTCGATGTAGGCTGCAAGCACCCATGCCCGAACTCACGGCGGCGCTCTACCAATGACTCGAAGCGCGAGGATACAGTCTATTGTGGACTTACCAGGAGTGAATCCGGATTGCTCCAGTCTCTGGTGCCTCAGTAGATGGTCTCTGATACGCCTCAGAAGGATGTGGGCGAGAACCTTGCCTGGTACACTGAGCAGTGTGATGCCTAGGTGATTGCTGCAGTCCCAACAGTCCCCCTTCCCCTTCCAGAGAGGGATGACCCACACCCCTCAACAGGTCAGGAGGAACGGAACGGAACCGCCAGATGGCAGCCAGGACAGCATGTAACCCCCGGCCATAGGTTCACACCAGCCTTTAACAGTTCAGCTGGTATGCCGCAGATACCTGCTGCTTTACCACTCTTCAGCTTGGAAATCGACCCCCTGACTTCATTTAGGGAGGGAGGGTCCTCTCTGATGGGTGGATCCGGCAGCGGGATCTCGACACTACTCGCATCCAAGTTAACTGTTGGTGGGGTCAACCAGGTACAGCTGCTCAAAATACTCAGCCCAACATTCCTGCACCGCAACAGGATCTGAAACGATCTGACCACTTACTGAGCGAACTGCTGTCACCTGTGAAGAGGGCTTGGAGTTCAGCTTTCTCAGGACTTGGTATGCAGGACGAAGGTCATTTACAAAGAAATGGCCTTCTGCCTCCTCTGCAAGACTCCTAATAAACTGTACCTTGTCCCTCTTACAGGGACTGAGTTCTGCCACATGAGAACGGTGCAATTCCCGATCCCCTGTCAGACGAGCCGCACGATGTGCATCTGTGGCTTCCAGTGTCTCCTGCGAGATGGAATTCTGTACTGCTCTCGGCGTACACCAATCGTATCTTGAGCTGCATCAAGTGTTTCACGCTTAAAGTATCCCACAGAAGAACAGGGTCTGTCAGACTGTCAAGCATTGCAAAACGATCAGAGATTGCCTCAGCAAACCCGCGGGCACACTCCCCCTCCCTCAGCCTGTCCAAATGAAACACTCTAGGGTGATCATTTTGCCCGCTGGGGAGTTTTGAAGTGGACCCGGAGGGTAGCCACAGCCAATCTATGGTCAGTACCACAGAACTCAGCACTCCTGTACACCCTGCAATTCTGAAGGATCCTCCAACGAGTGCTAACGAGTATGTGGTCGATCTCCTTGGCTGCATTACCACATCACTGTACCATGTCCAGCGATGTGGGTCTGGGCGCTGGTACCAGGAGCCAGAAATCCTCAGGGACCTAGCAAAGTCCTGGAAAAGGAGGCTATTCTCGCTACCGGCATCAACTCCTGAACCATGGGGACCGACAGACATCTCATTGCCAGCTCGATCACAGCCAGATACCGCATTGAAGTCACCCCAGAACAATGCGAATATCTCGCTGGGGACATCTGTCTACCACAGATGCAAGTTTGGCGTAGAACATCTCTTTCACGTCAAGTTTAACAAACATCGGTAGGAGCGTACACAGCAATAAGAGACATGAAGCCAAAGAAGCTTCAATTTCAATAGCATTATACGCTCATCAACAGGAGTAACCTCTACTACCGAGGGCTGGAGTCTACTGGAGATGGCAATGGCTACTCCCTGGAGATGGTGGCCGTCGCTGCGGCCCGACCAGTAATAGGTGTAGCCACCTACACAGGTCATGCCGCTGCCAGGCCTCCTCACTTCCGAGAGAGCGTCCAGCCTCCCCTGTTCCCTCGACAGTAGAGGCAACCGATTATCCTGACGCAAAGAACGGACGTTCCAAGCCCCCACCCTGACTTCCCGCCTGAGGTTCAGCCTCTGGCAGTCGCTCCGGGTGGATGCCACCTCTGCCACCCCCACCGACGCTGCCCATATAAAAGGGGGTGGCGGGCTGCGTGCCCCATCATCCACCTGTGGGTTCCCTAGGGCTTTCCCCCACAAGCTTCACTCTGGCTGGCGGCCACCAGAGCGCAGGCGAGACGAGTAGTTCCCGTTCCCAGCCTGCGCTCCAGCAGTCGCCCTCCCAGCAGGGCCCACAGTCCGCCTCACTTGCTGGGTGGGAGGGGCTTTTCCCCCTCTCCCAGCTTTCCGATTGGTGGCACTGCCGATTGGTTATATCTGGGGGGAGGAGGACTGGCAAGGCCCACCTCCCCCGAGCCTCCCATTAACCCCAGGGGGCTAGGGGACAGGAGTTGGTACAGGGCCAGGGCATGTCCACACGCTGGTGGGCCATGGCCCTGAACCTCTGGGGCCTCCTGCTGCTCCGAGATCCCCTCAGTTTAGCCTGGAACCGCAAGGTACCCGTTTTCCATGGGCGGCCACGAGGAGGCACTGCAGGGAGTCTCGATGATGGAGAGGCTATGCACTGGCAGGGGAGGCTTATGCAGAGCTGCTCCCTTTTTCGCACGAGGCTAGCCAGCGGTGGCAGCTGTAAGCGAGAAGGCATGCAAAAGCTCTTAACACTAACTAGACTACCACTCCATCGCTTCACACCACCCTACGCATGAAGCACCCACCCATAAAGAATAATGATAACGGTAATATAGTAATGAACACGTTTACAATGAAATATGATAAAGATGGATAAAAGATAATGATAACGGTAATATAGTAATAAACAAGAATACAATGAAATATGATAAAGATATATAAAACATAATAACAAGAATACAGTGA